CTGAACTCGGCCAAAATCGCTTAGGCGGTTACAGCGCCAAAAAAGAAGAAGAAGAAACTTCGATAAACAAAGGAATCTATGAGATGAACTGTACTTCAGTTGATAAAATAAATATGCGAATCATTTGATAGATGATCAAATGTCCTAATAAGCGGAGATCCCTCGGTGGATGGAACGATGTGCCGCTATCCTGCTGGACGTCAGTGGAAAAGAAGAGAGAGATGACTAGGCGGCGGTTGCATTTATAGGCCACAATGGAAGCGGCCCAGTGTGCCAATAAGCAATCCTGGGAAGAAATTCCCGTGCACTTGTCGAGCTTCCAACTAGAGCAGGGATGCTTGTAGTATGGAATTCCAACAGGGATGCATGAATGCAATTCATGCAAGTAATTTCAAACGAACGCCTGTACTTAATAGCTCAAGTGATGGAAATGCTTTAAGTGAGCGCAAGTCACTTAAACATGCCGGCCCCTTTGCACAAGTGCAAGCGTATCCCGCAAACGTTGCAATGCACGAATGGCTCTGTCCAACTCGATGCGGGCACGAGCATTCGGCGGCCGGGCCGTTGGTTGCCGGGCCTGAGCCAAAGCTGCCTCCTCCTCCGGTGTCGGACGGTGCAAGAGGGTGTTGTGCAACTGGTTGCAGATTTTGCACCTCCCATCTGAGTGGCAATCCCTCACTTGACTGTGGGTGCGGGCCAAGCAATTGGGGCAATAGTCCAAGAATCGCACCTTAACCCTACGTTCCTCTACTCCCATGAGTTGAAACTCTTTACAGAACTGTAAGGCGTGGTATTTGATAAATATGGGGCACTGATGCACATCGGGGTTACGAGGCGAGCATTAAGGCCTGGTGTTGCGTGGCAATAGCTTCCAAGGGGCGTACACTTTCGGTTCCCTGTAAATTAGATTTGTTTTATTGAAAGCTGTCAGAAAACGTATGACTATGGTGGTGAGGAAGTAGAATTGTGTAAATGTTTGTCAGGGCAGTGGATGAGATAAGTCTGTTTGAATCTGGAGCGGACATAGTTTGATAATTGGTCTGGTCAAAGTACCATGTTGCATTCGAGTGTCGGCAGCGCGGACTTTGTTGTCCGAGCCATGATAAACCTTTTCGACTCTGCCTAAACGCCATTCATTTGAAGGTAATAGTTCGTTTTTAATCTCGACAAGGCCGCCAACAGAAAAATTGTGGTGCGGGAGTTTCCACCTGTACCTTTGATGTAATTCTTTAAGGTATTCATCTTTCCGGCGCTGACTAAATTTTTGATGCAACAGTTTTAATTTCTCCCACCGATTTTGAAGCGAAAGTTTGTCAATTTGGGGTTGCAAGCAAAGGAGCTCCACGCAATAAATGACCAGGCGATAGGGCTAAAATCTCTTGAGGATTATCTGACATGGGTGAGAGTGGTCGAGAATTTAACATTCCTTCGATGCGAGCCAGTAGTGTGGCGAGCCCCTCAAAGGTGAAATTATTACTCCCACAGACCCCTTGTGAGGAGCATTTGGTGGTAAGAACTCAACCGGAAGAATGTGGCTTGAAAAGCTTTGGTAGAGAGTTCGGAGCACGGCTCTAAGTGAATCACTTTAGTTGAGAAAGAAATAAAAACACAAACGTATCCTTTGAGCATCGGTGATTTTCGAAGTGGTGATGATTTGAAATCGAACGGTCCTGCAAAATCAAGACCGGTGTATGTGAATGGTAGCGAGAATGTTGAACGCTCTGGCGGTAGGGCTGCCATGATTTGTTAACGAGTATTTTGTTTGAAAATCGTGCATGTTTTACAATTTCGCACGCAGGTTTTGACCTTGGATTTAAGTCTTGGAATGAAATACTCTTGCCTTGCAGTTCTAATCATGAGTTGGTGTTCTGCGTGCATCAATAAATTATACAAAAACTGTAGGAATAAATAAAATAATCGAGAAGATTCAGGCACGATAAAACGATATCTCCCATCATACGAGAGGAAGGAGTTTTCTAACCGGCCATTTACTCGGAGAAGTCCATTTGTATCCATAAAGGGATTTAACATCGAAAGCGATCTCTTTTTGGAAATTGGTTGTTTGCTCGGAAGTTTATCGTACTCATTTGGGTAATGCCTTTTTTAGGCTAGTTTTATAAGGCGCGTTTTAACCAAATGAATTTCCTTTTGAGTGATTACTACAGATTCGTAACTGATAGCTGGAGTGGACTGTATTGGTTTTATTCGGTGAATAAATCGAAACATGTAAGCAATCACGCGTAAGGCTTTCGACCAAGAGGAGAAGCGGTCTAAGATATCATGTTCGCTTTCCAACATATGTAGAGCTTTAATTTTTCGTTCTTCTAAGGGAGCGACATTCTTCCGGAGTGATAATGGCCATTGGTCGGCTGGTTTCAAGAGCCAGTCGGGTCCGTGATTAGTGAATTAGGTCTTGTGCCTGCAGCTTCGAGTTCCGACATCTGCGGGATTGTGGTTGGTGGATATGTGTCGCCACTTAATGTTTCCAACATTCTGGATAATTTTAGAAGTGCGATTTGCCACGTACATGGAGGCTTTTCGACCCACGAAAGGTCAATCGAGGAATCAGACCATAAGAAAATGTCAGTGTTCTCGAGAGGGAGTTAGTTTATAACGTTTTTAATGCATCTTTATAGCAGAACTGCACCACAGAGTTCCAGACGCGGAAGACTTATTGTTTGTTGGTGGAACATAGATAGATTAGGATTGGGTCCCAATTGGAAACTTAAACTCCTTGAGACTTTAGGCTTCGCTATTCTCGGAATTAGCAGAAGGCAAGTTGAAGAGCGTTTTCAGCAGCTTGTCGATTAGGATGCGTTTATTTTCGAAACGAGCTCTTAATGCTTCCCAAGCAAGAGAGAAGTTTTCATCGCACAAGGTGAAGTGCTTTACTATGGAACCAGCCTTACCACGCGTTTTGTTTCGCAAGTGATAGAGTTTTTGTGCCGGTGTTAGCTTGGGATGGTTGAGATACACAGCCGTGAACATGTCACGACAGGCTGGCCAATCCTCATATCTTCCATAGAAAATTTGTGTATCACATGGTGGAACCTTGATACGTGGAATGACGGAATAGGTTGGCTTTCTGGGAAGTGTTAGCTGGATAGGATGAGCTACCATGAAAAAGTTTGACCTGATCCAGAATGTGGGACTTGCAGATATAGAAGCTATCAGTACACAATTGGAACTTATCGCACGCTTCTTCTTTAAAATCGATAGGAACGGTTTTTTCATCTGCCAAGCACACCACTCTGTAGGAAATTTGAAACGATTCCCAACGATTGTTGAGATCTTGAAGCTTTACCTCTAAGAAGGAATCGGTGTATTCTTCTGGATCGTCCTTTTCGAAATGTGAACAGAAATTCACAATATTGTTCGAATCGAAAATAAAATCTACCGTTACTGTGGAGTCAGTGGCCATGGTTTAGTGAAAATATAAGATGTCGTTGAAACGAGAAAAAAAAATGCGACCGAGTTTGGAAATTTCTTTGAAAAGTTATTGACGCAAGTATGGCGATACCCAATTGCCGGTAGCCGAGGTAATCAGAAGTCGTGTTGCTTTATTCATAAGTATGTATAGGCAGATGTAATCTGTGAACGCAAGCAACTTGCGATGGAAACCGTAAAAAAGTTATGAAAGCTCGTTAACTTGAGCGGTAAACGTACCGAACAAAACTTTTGTAGATGAGAAAGTGATTACACTTTTTAAACTTTATTTAGCTCATGCAGCGCTGAGAACAGATTTTATATAAACCGTTAACATGGGATAGAATTGATGACTGTTTGGCTTGGAGTTCGCAAACCATTCAGGAAAGAACTTGGTTTTATCCAAAATAAATGTCGACTTTTGTTCCGATCCGTACCGTGACAGTGAATTATTGGCTTAATCCTTTAAGGAACTTGTATGCTACGCTAACGTACGCAGCGAGTCATATGATAAAACCGTAAAAATCGACCTTTATTTTTTATAAACCACAAATATATACGTGTTAAATGATTGTATCTACGTGTGTAGTAAAATATAGTATATAGGAAAATATGGCTATAGGTACGTAATAATATGACTGACGATCGATATGAGATCGATTAGCGACCGACACAAGCAGCACCGCGTAACCGTGAACAAAGTAAAATATTTAAATTTGATTTCCGAATAAAGTTTTGGGTTTTGGTGTTAAGTTAATTCGAATAAGGCGCAGTAAAAGTGTGGCTAGGATTCGATTTAATTTCGCACTTGATTGAATGGTATTATTCTAGCTGATTATTTATGATGTCACGCATAACCGTAAGTAACGCAACGCAAACATATGGATTTTTGAAAATCATTTCTATATATTTCAAATTGTGTACGTTAATGCACGTAACGCCCTGGTATTCCACGGAACACCGCACAGCCGTATGTACCCGTGCGTTTAAATTACAAACAAAACCTTGAAATCTATTTAAAAGTGTAAACTTCTATGTTGGCGGAAACAACGTTTGATTTTAAATTATTGCGAACGAATCTTTAACACACTTTACCAAAATCGATTTATTCGAGAGACAATAAAATATTCGAGTTATGCACTTTTTCGCGTGTAGTTGTATACAAATTAGATGCACATAGAGCTTGTACCTTCCTATATGTATATGTATAGGGTTTAGGGTTGTAGGTATAACTATTTATGTATGTGCCCGCAATGAACCACTTGAATATTATTATGGGTTAGTATGTATGCACATGTATATTCACCAACGCATATAAATGGAAAAAATTAAAAATCAAATTCATGGAAAAGATTTTAGAATTTTCATAAATGTAGCCTTTTTTTCTCTGAGTGTATCACTTTGCCAACAGCGAATCTTATTAGAATGAATGTATATCAACTCGTTGTGTTGACGAAAGCAACGAACTGCAAACGAAACGCAAATACGTACGTATGTATGTAAATACATACATATGTACATAAATAAGCGAATAATAAGGCAATGTTCCAACGCCGGCGCAAA